CATAATCATAATTCATAACAAGTATACACTAGATGATACTCTACAAGATCATAGTCAAATATCAAGAATTTCATATAACATATCAAAGTTGCAAATAATCGTATCAAGTACCAAAATATACACATCAACCAAATTTCAAAAGCATACAATTCTCACAAAAAGCAAAACAAGAATATATCCCATATTGCACATATTGGAATCTATCAACTCACCTTTGATTTCTTATAGTTGAAACGTTTCAAAATCGCGTTCCCATAACTCTTTTAAGATAAACAAAATACCGAAACAATAAATAAGATCTAGTTTACGATTTAATGTTTTGTGTTATAATATTTCAAGTAGCAATTCTAACTTTATAATCTTCATAAATAAGAACGTGTGATTGTTGAACTTAGAGTGGCCCCATGGAAGGCAAATGGACTGAGGTCAGGCGACGCAAATCACCGGAAATGCCAGGAGTAGATCATGAAGAAACCAGTTTCTTCGTCTCCAACATTCCAAACAGATCAACAAAGGCAGAGTTTAGGAAGATTTTCTCACCCTATGGCAGTCTGTCTGACATCTATTTCGGAAGAAACAAAGGGAAAAACGGTAAGAACTATGGATTTGTCCAATTCCTAGGTGTGGAAGACGTCAAGAACTTGGAATCCAAGTTACACGGGGTTATATGCAAAAACAATATATTGGAGGTAAACATTGCTAGACACGGGAGGAAGAAGCCTCACGAACCAATACATCACAAATCGAGACCGCCGACAACCAAGGGAACTCACAACACTGCCGGATTGAGATTTGTGGATAACCGCTCATACGCACAAGTCACCTGTGCCAAGGCATCACACCGGCCTCCTGTAATCAGATCAATTGGGTCTCCTGGTTCTTTCCCCATGATCAATCTACAATGTGATAAACACATGGATCATTGGATAAAAAATTCCACTCTTATTGGCGAAGCCAAATCGATTCCTCACTTAGGACATGTGCCGGCGTTGATATCGTTCCACAGTGAGCACCGACCCTCTGTCAAATATCTAGGTGGATTGCTGGCTCTCATCAGCTTTGATTCCACAGTCAACGCGCGGAGGTTCCTAGAAAATGATTGCAACTGGAAAGATACTTTTAATTGGTTAAAACACGATGGCATTGAAGAATCAAAATTCGAAAGGGTTGCATGGGTTAGGATTGTGGGTCTACCTCTAAGACTCTGGAATGAATCCAATTTTAATGCAATTCTTGCAAAATTTGGGAAATCGATTACTCCTTTTGAACAGATCCTGGAGCGGGTGGACCTATCTGTTGTAAAACTTGCCATTCTCACCGGCGAAAAGAAAAAACTTAATGAGGAAGTTAATGTGGAGGTGGATGGTAACTCTTTTACTGTAGGTGTGGTCGAATACGAAGATGAACCATGGTTACCTTTTAAATTTGACACCGAAAATGAACCATATGAAACATATACTTCGGATTCTGACTCAAAATTAGCAAACTCTCCAATGGCGGAAGCTACTGATGATGACGACGTCAATGATTCCTCAGATGAGGATTCTATTGAAGATACAGAAATTGAAGACGGTGAGATTGTTCCAACCATGGATGATGCATCCCCAACACCGCCGCCTACTCCCACAGAGGCTCCCTGTGCCGGGTTTGAATCCAACGTCGTCGAATCTCCACTTTCCGGCGTCGCTTTGAATTCTGAATCATCGACATAACTATTGGAGTCCCAAGACTTACGCGCATGCTTAAAATCTGGGGAATTGGAACCGTCACTCGTGCATGGTGCTGAGGCTAATGCTAACGGAAATACATTTACAGATCCATGGGTTGTTGAACCCTCAATACAGGTGGACCATAATGGGTCGGATCCTATAGGAACTAGTACTAATGGGCCCATCCCTTTTCCACATGATCTGGCCCACTCAGGGTGCTTTGGGCCTTTCCCGTCAACATCTCCACATCCCTCTATTCCAACTTTGGTCATTCCGGATCCATCTGTGAATTATCGTTCCTCGGCAAAACGCAAACGTGGACTCCGCTCCCCAACTGGTGATCTCCCCTTACCGGTCAAATTGTTCGCAGACTCTACCCCCCAGGAAGAGCTTATTGGGTCTCGTACATTGATTCCTCCATCTCTTAATAATCCTCCCCTCCTCCTCGGTCAAAATTTCTTAAACTCAAGGTTGAACTATCATCCCTCTTCTGCATCATTGTCGTTGTCTGAAATTGAAGCCACTGCTTTCGTGGGCTCTTTGATTGGATTCGAAATTCCACCGGATAATCCCGTGTTAATTGAAGTCCTAGGCGAATCAAGTGAGATCAATGGTCCCCAATGAATTTTCTCTCCCTTAATATTTGTGGCATTGGAGAAGACCATAAGGTGTCTTGGGTTAGAAGGATAAGATCCGCACACAAGCTTTCTTTCATTGCTATACAGGAAACTCAGTTATCAGATGCAGAATATATCGATGTTGCATCATGTTGGGGGTCGACTGAATTAGGCTCAAGCAGGATTAATGCATCTGGACGTTCTGGGGGGTTATTGAACTTATGGGATAGTAGTATGTTCAGTTCTACTCAAGTATTATCCTCAAAACATTATCTTATCAATATCGGAACCTGGGTGGGGGTTCAAAGACCGGTGATTTTTGCAAACATTTACGGACCCCAACCGGCTCTAGAGAAAGCTAACCTTTGGGATGCACTAAAAGGAATCATTCATACATATGACGGCATGTGGATCCTACTAGGTGACTTTAACGCTGTTAGGCGACCAGAAGAGAGATTTAACTCTATCTTCTGCAATCGAACTGCTCGAGATTTCAACAATTTCATCAGTGAAGTGGGACTGAGAGACCCAAAAATGGGAGGTTTTCGTTTCACGTGTTTTAGAAATGAAGATCTTAAACTCAGTAAACTTGATCATTTTCTTCTTAGTCCATGCTTCCTCGACATTGCCCCGTCCGCCACTGTCACAGCTGTTCCTCGTGAACTATCTGACCATTGTCCAATTCAGCTATCCACAGTTAGGCCTGATTTTGGACCTCCACCATTCAGACTTTTCAACTCATGGCTGCTCAGAGATGGATTTGAAAGGGCATTCATCACACATTGGAACAACTTTCAGGGGTATGGAACACCAGATCAACATTTACATGCAAAATTGAAACACGTGAAAGAGGGTCTGAAGGCATGGAGAGCTTTAGATCATCCTAAAGAAGAGTTGGAACTCTCCAAACACAAACAAATTATGGCACATTTGGACCATGAGGCAGAATCTAGACTTCTTACACCACAAGAAATTGACTCAAGGCGAGACAGTTTCAAATCTATTACAGAGTTGGAGAAATTCAAAGTCCTAGATATCAAACAAAAATCAAGGGTAAAGTGGGCGGTCGACGGGGATGAAAACACCCGTTTTTTTCATGGTCATGTCAATCATAATAGCAGAAAAATGGGATTGATGGCCTTATGATCAATGGTACTTGGTGTACCGATCCGGTGTTAATAAAGTCGGAAGCTTTCAACTTTTTTGCAGACAAATTCAAGGAGAAGTGGCCTTCTAGACCCAAGCTGGTTAGCAGCCAATTCAAACGCATTCTACCTATCGACAATGATGTGTTGGAAGCCATGATCACTTTGGAAGAACTTAAAGCTGATGTCTGGGTGTGTGGAAATGAGAAAGCTCCTGGCCCAGACGGATTCTCATTTTAAGTTTTTCAAAAAATATTGGGATGTTGTATTTGGTCACATTGTTGCGGTGGTCAAACACTTCGAGAGATACGGGAAACTTGATATTTCTTGCAAATCCTCCTTCATCTCTCTAATCCCCAAAATCAAAGACCCCCTCATGCTTAGCGATTACCGACCGATAAGTCTAATCCGTTCCATTTACAAAATCATAGCAAAAATACTTGCTCATCGGCTCAAGAGGGTATTAGGAAGTTGTATTGACGAGGTACAATCCGCATACGTGGAGGGACGAAACATACTCGATGGTCCATTGGTGGTTAATGAGATATGTTCATGGGCAAAGAAGGAAAAAAAGAATGTTTTACTCTTCAAAGTCGACTTTAACAAAGCCTTTGATTCGACTAATTGGGAATTTCTAGATTCAAACATGAAAGCCATGGGATTTGGAGATAAATGGAGATGTTGGATCAACGGTTGCTTGGCCTCTTCAAAATCATCGGTTCTTGTCTATGGGAACCCCACTAACGAATTCCCCATCTCGAGAGGAGTCAAACAAGGTGATCCACTCTCCCCATTCTTCTTTATCATCGCAATGGAGGGTTTAAGTGTGGCTATGAGGGCTGCTTGTGATAGGGGAGTATTGCACGGCCTTAAAATACCACATGATGGCCCCTCAATCTCTCACTTATTGTATGCCGATGATGCCCTGTTCCTAGGTGAATGGTCGGAACAAAACATAAAAAATTTAGCCAGAATTCTACATTGTTTTCATGTATCCTCCGGACTCAAGGTCAATTTCAACAAATCTCGGGTGTTTGGGATAGGGGTAAACACGCAGGAGGTGTCGAGATTTTCTAGACCGCTGGGATGCGAGCCGGCCACATTACCTTTCACTTATCTCGCGGTCCCAGTCGAGGCGAATATGAAATTTAAAAAAAAACTGGAAACCAGTGATTGACCGATTCCATGCAAAGCTGTCAAAATGGAAGTCTAAAACTCTATCGTTCGGGGGGAGACTAACTCTTGTGCAATCCGTCCTTGGAAATCTTCCGACTTACTATGTCTCACTTTTTGTGGCACCGCAAGGTGTGATAGATAAACTAAAAAAAATCCGAAGACAATTTTTGTGGGGAAGCTCCGAAGGTAACCGAAAGATATATTGGGCATCATGGGACAAGGTTATAGCGTCCAAAGATGCTGGTGGACTGGGTGTAGGTACAATCAAATCTCTAAATGTTTCTTTAATCATGAAATGGTGGTGGAGATTACGATCAGGGCCCACAAGTATTTGGGCAGAAGCAATAATTGGAATGCATAATTTAAGATCGAAACCCGATAACTGCTATGCGAGTAATACTCTACCTGGCGTATGGAATAACATTGCGGGCATTAGAAAAGATTTGGTAAAGAAGAATATTCCAGTTGAACAGGTCCTAACCAAAAAGCAAGACCCAATTAGAGACTACTGGCACTGTAGTCTCACCTCGGATGGATCTTTCATTGTCAAGGCTCTAAGGAAACTTTGGGATTTCAGTCCGCCGATTGCTAATGGTAAGTTTACTTGGCTAAAAGAAATTCCAATTAAGGTGATGTGCTTTATTTGGCGAGCAAGACTGGGTAAAATCCCTTCAGCCACTGCTTTATCATCCAGAGGGGTAGTTTTGGAAACTAATTTATGCAGTCACTGTGGGACCATGGAGGAAAGTGCCGATCATGCATTAGTTGGATGTGAGTATGCCCGTTTGGTACTAGATTTGCATTCTGAAATGGTGCGGGGTTACAATATCTAATTTCCAAACGGTATACGATATCATAGATTATGCCAATAATTGGTTTGACTGCCCTCAAAAAAAGAAATTGCTTCTGGGAATATGTTACGCTTCACTTTGGTGCATTTGGAAGGCCCGAAATGATAGAATCTTCAACATGAAGCGGCTGCCTCCCTCCAACTGTGCAGATATCATCCAATCCACTACGTTTCTTTGGATTAAAAAATAGGAAAAATAGAACCAATATGGTGTGGGCTAAATGGTGTGAATGTCCCTTCTTTTGTTTGTAATCTTTTTCTGTTGTTTGTAACTTTTATTGCTCTTCTAGTCACTTGCTAGAAGTTGCCTTCTATTTATATATCTATTTGTCGGTTCCAAAAAAAAATTACATAATTGAAAACTAAACCCCATTATATATTATATTAATATCTTTATGTATCTTTACATCGTTTTATGCATGTATCCATAAAATTATGCATAAGAATCATGTCATACCTGCTGGACATTGTATAGCCACGTTTACAAATGTTAACCCATGCAAATTTTCGTTTCTCTTTTCTTTTAAATAATATTTAATAAGAGTTAATTAGATAATGGAGTATAAAGTTAACTAAACTCATCTTTAGGTAATGGAGTATAAAGTTAACTAAACTCATTGTTGTTTCCCGATGGTGGCTCAGACGCCCCTCACCGGAATACTCTAACAACAATAACCAACCCGTCTTCACGACTGTTGTCCCTCTAACTCTTTCTCGCTTTTCCAAATGGCCGGTCTTCTTCTCTTCGTTTTCTGATCACGCAAACATAAACATCAACATCGATGTGTCTTTTCTTTCTTTTATCTACGCCATTTCAGCTTGTAGGAGACACACACATCTCGCCAACCCTCTCGATTTCCTCCTGTCTCTCCTCTCTCTCACTCAACCTCACGTGGCTCTTTAATTACATAAAGAGTTATTCTTGGTGTTCACGTTGGTAACGGAAGGAAGGGGAAGAATGAAATGACTCTCATTAGGTTTCTCATCGTTTTTTTTGGAAGTTACATCACCAGTTACTAGCTTATGGAATTCAATTCACCATTCCAATACCAATTTACAACAATAGTCCCTGATCTTTGATACATATTTTAGGAATAACTCTAACCATATTAAATATGATTACCTTTTTTTTCATTAGAATCATTTAATTTGATTTAAATGGAAAATAACCCTATTTTAATACTTCAAGTATTAATTAAATCCCAATATTAATTAAATATCTTTAATCCTTATAATTATTAATAAAATCCTATATAATCATTTAAATATCAATCAAAATTCTTAAAATACTAATTAATCTCATTTAGTTTATCTTATCACATATTAAACATACAATTTCATATTATAATCGCAAGTAAAGCTTAATCCTACATAACGGAAAACTAACTAAGCTAACCGTAAGAATTTGGTTCGTTACATGTTTGGTCCTCCCGTACTAGTGTTGTTTGTTGTTTCCATCGTGACCAATATTGCTTGTCTGGTATTTTTTTTCCTTTTGATGGCGACTGTGTATTTGGCTCCCCTTTGGCTTGAACATGCGCCCAAGAAGAATTACGCGTTTTTAGTTGAGATGGAGTTACCGCTGACAGTGTAGTACTTGGTGTTGTTGTCGTAATTAGGGTGAATGTTGGGATTAGGTTAATTGAGCTGAAGGGCGAGTATGATAAGGGACATGAAGATTGTTGTTTTCCTTGCATGTTAAACACGGATGGCGCCAATGTTGCTATGTGGCCTTCCGTATGCTTGATTGCTGCTTGAGAATGTCTTCTTCTAAAGCACACCTAGGAAGGCACGCTACAAAAGGTAAACTAATGTAGGTTAAAAAGTGACACCGAGGGATAGACCTCAGTATTGCGCTCCAATGCCGAAGTTAGATGTCAATTACGAGTATTGTAAAAATTGCTTAAAGTGAGAAAGTTCTACCCTTGCCAATGTGCATCAAGGTTCTTAAATAGATGTTGGATGGTCCGGGTTCTTGCTCATTTAACTAGGTGGTGCATTTGTCCATAGGTTGCAAGGGTAGTACCCTTTAATATAATAATATTACATTTTCTATGTTTTTTAGTATTTTCGCATAAGGATTTTACGAGTGATTTTCTTACCATAATATATTGCTTTCCGGTCTGTGTAGCTAGTTTACTTTTAATATGGATAGTCGGCATGGTAAGTCATGGGCTTACCTTGTTAAGCCGGACTACTTTTAGTGACTGATGTGTATTTTTAATGCACTGGTTTTTTATTTATAATTCCTATTTTATCGCATCTAAACCACACCTTACAGGCAGTAAACCCGATCGAGTATAGTATATCTTTGATAAGCAAGGGTGTCGAACACAAGGGGAACGGTAGTGAATTAATTTAAAATATTTGATTATAGGTTACAAAGCATACGAAGGGATAAAGAAATGTTTATTAAATCTCAAACTAATAACTAATAGCAATTCTTGATAAACTGACAGGAATAATAATTTCTTTAGGTACTTTGATTTAGATAAATTACCTCTTAAATTAATAGCTAACTATTGATACAATGGATAATTATTCATTATTCACTGATTCCTAATATGACTAGTGTCATGGTCACGACTGCTAATCCTTTGATTTCAACACAATTATTAACTCATTGATCAAGTGAACAAACAATCATGCAAATCAGTATTTAGTTCGTATTAAGCAAGATTTGATCTTATTTAACTCTAATAGTCTTAAAAGTTAAATCATGCAGCGAATGGTCATTCTACTCATGCACACACATTAAAGTTCATTACTTTATTTCCTAACCTTAGGTTTTGGTCAAAACTCTAGTAATAATCACCAATGGTCATTGGACAACTATGATTCAAACTAACACAGCTAGATGGTCATCTAAACTTTATTAATTCAGCAATAGGAAACAAAACAACAATCTTTAACACATATGGATATTCAATCAAACTTGACAAAATAAATTAAATAAGAATAAATAATTCAAATAGCAATTAAACCAATAATTCGTAGATTTATTCAGTCATAAGCACAAAGTAAAAGGTTTTAACACCTAAATCAGAAAGTAAACTCAAAATGGCATCACAATGGAATGCAAACATGGTCACGATAACAAACCACATGATTACCGACATGAATCCGCTCTCCAATCCCTTAGATCTTCGCTCCTGTCAGCTTAACGGCCTTCCAGCCGCCTTCTAGACCCTCAAAACGGCCAAATATATGTTACTTGTCGACTAAGGATCGATGGTAGTCGGGATCCCCCTTCTGGTTGGCTGATATTCGCTTTTTATAACCTTTGGAACCGACTTACGTACGCTGGGCGTAAGTCGGTTTACGCTGGGCGTAGTAGGAATCCCATCGCGATAACGAAGTCCGGATGCAAGCCCAGTACGCTGGGCGTAATTAAATCTACGCTGGGCGTAGTCTTTGTCTCACCAGTACGCTTAGTGTACATAACATTACGCTGGGCGTAATTACATCCTTCAGCATTTTTCTTTCTTTTTTGCTTCTAAGCCCGATTTCCGCTCCAATCTTTTCTTTTCCGCTCTATTGACAACTAATAGTTGTAAATCATAATTCAAAGCATTGTAAGTACCTTTTAGTTCTAAATAAGAATAATAAAGGCTAAAATATTAAGATATAATGTATAAAAATATGTATAAAAATACACATGTCAGTGACATTATATTTCTTCCGTGTATATGATAAATGTTGGAGAATGGTGCCCGTAGCCATAACAAGTTGGTAATATTATTATAAGTAGTAGTGTCATTTGGGTTACATGCAAGAGCAAACTAAAGAAGAACAAAAATGATATAGGTGAGGTTTAAATATATATAGAATCCTCTACCCATCCTAATTAATCCTCATAGATCCTGGTCCATGATTATTAGGAAGTTTTATATTACCCGATGAATCGTTTAAAGGGTTTGACTACACAGGTAGTGGCTTTCTTGGCCAGTGCAAGTCATAAAGGCACATGAGCCGTTAGAGTATTTTGATGAATAGGATATTACCTTTCATATATGTTTGTAGGTTATGAGCCTACACTAGCAACATAACTCACCAGACCGCCTAGAATGGTCAAGTCTTGTCATCCTACATTGGAAGATGACCAAACATACTATTAATAGTTTCCTGATCAGGACCCACCATTTCTGGTCATCCCAATATGGAATATTGATATGTACTCCGGTACAGAGCTACCACACATCGACACCAGAAAGTGTCACAGAATAGAACTTTACTCTTTGTTCCTAGATTACGCACATTCTCCTGATGAGACTACCCAATATCAAACTTAATTGAACTAGGTAGCTCCTATAAGTCTAATTTTATACCTAGACTAGATTGCAGGGTTGTAACCAATTTCTAATACCAAATCTATTCATGAGCGACACTAACCTATCCTTAGTGTGTGTATGTGTATGTGTGTTTATATATATATATATATATATATATATATATATATATATATATATATATATATATGTATTCCATACAAAGTATTAGGTATTGTTATTCATTTATATTCTCAGCAATGCTACTTCTAATTATTATTATCTAATGTTATCGAATCATCCTAATATAAAAATAGAATCATATCTGATTTGCACATAACACAAAACACACACACACACACACACATATATATATATATATATAATTATATATATATATATATATATATATATATATATATATATTATATATATATATATATATATATATATATATTTCACTTCCCATATCATAACATATAATCCAGACAATAAGCATATAATTAACATATGACTTCCAACAAATATTTAAAACTTTAATTCATACCTGTATTAAATCATGTGCATGAAAGGGACATTCCACGCACTTGATAAAATGGATGACAGACGAATTCGGTAGCTTTTCGCTTCGCACTTCCAAAGGGACATAGACGTATAAAACACTAAGCTTTAGTCTAGTTTCATAATCCTGGCAACTATAATAATTATAGTTTAC